ATTTCTATGCTGAGCATGACAGGTTTCTGGCTGCCACTGACAAGTTGTACGAATCTAGACAAGTCACTTATGGTGACCTGGGACTCCACATTTATAAAGAGAACTAGTTTATCTCCAAGAACCTTTCTGGTGGAAATATTCTATGATTCTCTTCAGATCACATACAGTAATACAGTCACAGTAATGTGACTAAGAGAACCCTCAAAGAACAATCCTGTATTAGCTGCAGCTTCCAAATATTCAACATTTTTCATTTCTCCCCAGTCCTCAAAGGGTAGTCACAGCTACTATAGAACTGTTAAAAGGACAGCTTAAAAAAAAAAAAAAAGAGAAAACTAGCTACACGACAGAAAGATTGTAGGCTTTTTAAAGAGTCAGTGGGTTCTAAAAAGGGAAAGGAATTGAATCAGAAAAACAGGAATATACATGCAAGAAAATATACCCATCCAATTTCATACCAGGTTATCTCCTGTGGCAGGGAACAATCTTAGGGGTCCAAGCCTAAACCCTGTCATTTATAACCTTAGAATACCAGAAAAGTCAGATTAACCTTAGCAGATCACTCAATTTCAATCAACTATGTAGATCCTGACTAAGAGGCCAGTGGAAAGTAGAGGGCCAGAGTAGGGACGTAGCAGTACAGAGGACCACAGATGGAAGGTTTCACTTCCAGCCAGCATGTCATGTGAATGATTAATTAAAATGTTTGAAAACAAAAAATCCAATAATGTATGATATTTTCAAAAACGATGAGCAAGGAACTTTGCTAGGCATCCCAGGGGTGGGGGTGGGGTAACGATACACAGATGCATTTAGGGAATTTAAGAGTTATTAAAGGCTGGGCACAGTAGCTCACACCTGTAATCCCAGTACTCTGGGAGGTGAGGGTGGGAGATCACTCGAGGTCAGGAGTGAGATCAGCATGACCAACATGGCAAAAGCCTGTCACTTCTAAATATACAAAAATTAGCCAGGCATGGTAGCACACACCTGTAGTCCCAGCTACTTGGGAGGCTGAGGCACAAAAATTGCTTGAACCCAGGAGGCAGAGGTTGCAGTGAGCGGACATCGCGCTACTGCACTCCAGTCTGGGTGGGTGACAGAGTGAGACTCCATGTCAAAAAAAAAAAAAAAGAGTTATTAGTATTTTAATCCTGTAACACACTGGCTCTGCTTTAAGCGGGTCTGGGTGGCCCGATATCCCTCCATTGCATCCTCCACACCCCCCATTACCCAGTGCAGTTTAAAAACATAATATTAAGAGTATGTACCCATAGATATGAGGTAAGAGGAGTGAAAAAAGAGTTATAGACCCAAACATTAATATTTAAGGGAATGTGCTGTCTCATGAATAATACAGAATGATTTAGAAATTCAGATGCTGACTGGCCATCTGGTTTTAGTAATCAGTGAAGACTCATTAGGACAGTTTTAATCACGGTCTTGAAAGATAAGAATAAGCCCATTTTAGTGTACCAGTCTGCCCTTGGAATATGTTTATCAGTATAAGAGCATCACTAATGGGAAAAGCATGGCCTGAAATAGGGACAAGGATCACCATCAGCAAGCAAAGAGAAAAACATCAAGTCACCAATTAATAATGGTCTGAAGCAGCCTTTCTTCACTCATGTCATTTCTACTGTCTCAGATATTAGTGTTCATCCAACTGCAAAGTTTATTTTTGTTATAATAACCACAAATGTTGTACCTAATATAGATCAATATGAAATAAAGTGTAAAAGGGAAAGCTTGAGGGGCATTCTCCCAGACATCAATTTCTACTGTGGAACACTATTGTCCAATGCAAATGATCCTTCCCTTCTTTCCAAGTTCTCTACTAATCTTCCACCAACCCCAACATGCATCTGAGGCACGTAAAAAGGTACATGACCACAGGTTTAGGACAGCAACACACTGTAATGACTTCCATAGTTTCTTACAGGCAAACTGCTTTTTAAACATGGTTTTAGATTAGTAGAACTTATGTAAGAACACAAAGCTCTTTTATGTCTGGGAATTTCTGGTATAGGCTGAAGGTGAAGGCTGAAAAGAACCCAAACTGCTTCAAATTCAATAAATTTAAATAAAATATGCTCCATAAAAATTGAAATGTATAATCTATCAAATGTCATATACTTTTTCTGATAAGATTTCAAAGTTAACACCTATACTCATAAAGACTTATAAGAGTGTAAAGAATGTACACATTTTATTGCACCCTAATTTTTTTAAAACTAAATTTCATTGGCCATATTTGAGGTTTACAACATGATGCTGTGGAATATAGATAGCAAAATGGTGAAGCAGATTAACATAGCCATCATTTCACATAATTATTTTTTAACAAGAGCTGCTAAAATCTACTTATTTAACAAAAATCTTTAACACAATTTTACTAACTTTGGTCTCCCTGTATCTCTAAACTTGTTCATCCTACATATCTGCTATTTTGTATCCCTGACCTACATCCCCCCATTTCCTTTTCATCCCCCCACCAACAGTGGTAACCATTGTTTCATTCTGTGTATTTTAGCTGCTTCAAGAAATACTCTTCAGAGGCCCAGGAGGGTGGATCACGGAGGTCAGGAGATTGAGATTATCCTGGCTAACATGGTGAAACCCTGTCCCTATTAAAACACAAAAATTAGCTGGGCATGGAAGCGCGCACCTGTAGTCCCAGCTACTGGGGAGGCTGAGGCAGGGGAATTGGCTTGATTGAACCTGGGCGGCGAAGGTTACAGTGAGCAAAGGTTGCTGTGAGCCGAGATTGTGCCACTGCACTCCAGCTGGGCAACAGAACAAGACTCCGTCTCAAAAAAAAAAAAAAAAAAAAAATTCTACATACACGTAAGATTATGCAGTATGTATAGCTTATCTCATTTAACATAATGTCCTTCAAGTCTATCTACGTTGTGGTAAATGGCAGGATCTCCTTTTTTAAGGCCAAATAATGTACCATTGTATGTTGTCTATATACAGACAAACATATACACACATACACAACAATTTCTTTAGCCATTCATAATCCATCGATGGACATTTAGCTTGTTTTCCTATCTTGGCTATTGTGAATAATGCCGCAATGAATGTGAGAGTGCAGGTAATCTCCACAACCTGATGATTTCCTCTCCTTTGGGTGTATACCCCAAAGAGGGGTTGGTGTGCACCCAGAATCTTCAAAATAGTATGTAAATCCTACTTTTGCTGATATACTGTGAATCCATGTTTACCTTAATAAAATGACAATAATAGTACTCTTTCAAGAAAATAATTTGAAGAGAAAATATAAAAGAAACTTCAACCCAAGTAAAGAAGCTATCTCTTTCCCATCAGTGTTATCGGTAACTTCTAAAGCTCTAAGCAGTATAATTTATCTTTTCATGTACAGGATAATGATGGTTCCAGTTGTTACCACAAATTACCTCAAATATAATCGACGAAAAAGATCATTAGCTATATAGGGTCTTACAATATATCATAAAGACAACATGAAAGTCAACCCAGCTTCAGGTAACTTGGTCAAACCTGGAAGAATCCAAGAGGTTGGGGGATGCGGACATGAGAGCCAAGTTACTAGGCTAAAGGCTAATAAATAGGCCACACATCAAAGGAATCCAGGTCAGGCGCGGTGACTCATGCCTGTAACCTCAGCACTTTCAGAGACTGAGGTGGGTGGATCACCTGAGGTCAGGAGTTCGAGACCAGCCTGGTCAACATGGTGAAACCCCATCTTTACTAAAAATACAAAAATTTAGCCGGGTGTGGTGGTGGGCGCCTATAATCCCGGCTACTCGGGAGGCTGAGGCAGGAGATTCGCTTGAACCCGGGAGGCAGAGGTAGCCGTGAGCCGAGATTGCACCACTGCACTCCAGCCTGGGCAAAGAGTGAAACTGTCCCAAAAAAAAAAAAAAGGAATAAGGAATTAGTATAAGAAAGATGGGGTCAGGAACACTGCTCAACTCGAGATTATCACACATCTCTAGTTCTTTCAATATTGGTACCAAAAGAATGATCTTACTTATCTCACTCCGTATACTTATTCCTTTACAACATGAATTATTTCCAGTCTGGCTGGTGTATCTCACTGCACACCCCAAGCTAGTGACATAAAACACTGTCACCAAAAGAAACCTACAGAAAGATACATAAGCCTAAGGCTCTTTTTAAAAAAAAAAAAAAAAAAAAAAAAAAAAAAGCATGTGTCTTCACCTCGCCTTACACTTGTCTCAGTTACCTCTCCCGAGGGTGTGAAAATATCAACATCCGGTCGCCCACCCCCACCCTCTCAGCAGTGCCTCGCATTGACTCTGCCCATCCCCTATCCTTCCCTTAATAGTCTCATCACCTTGGAGAAGCCCATGGAATATTTCTTCCTATGGCTCCCCCACCCTTATTCATGGCTCAACGCGATATTCTCCACATCTTTCTACCAAGGAAGTGGCAAAAAAGAAAGCAGCATGGTCGAGGACGAAAGCCGGGGAGGCCTGACAACCAGATAGCAGTTTAAGGCGACAGGATTGGCTCTTTTCCCCCCATCTCGACCTCCGAACCAGCAGTCAGTTCTGTAAATGTGAAAACGCTGGTCTTCCCGCTCCCCCACCCCCATCCCCGTCAGAGGCCAGGCCGGTAATATCCGAAGACCGGGAGGAAGCGCGAGGCAGGGCGATCTCTAACGAAGCCTACTCCCTCCCGGGCTGGTGTCCCCGGGGGGACTGGACATTGCGGGGGGAGGAGCAAAAGGCCCCCGCCCTGGGACCCCCCGGACACCCGGGCCCTTTCCCCATCCGGCTTCCCTCCCCCACGGCCCGGCCCCCAGCACTGCAGCGGCGCCCGGTGGACCCCACGCTGGCCTCACTGGCACACACGCCACACACAAAAGCGCCGCGGCCGCCGCCTTCCCGCCCCCACAGCCCGGCGAAGCAATCAATGAGGCGGCCGGCGCCAGCGTCCCCTCCGTGCACACCGAACACTGGGCCAAGCGTGCCAGCGGGGCGGCTCACCATCGCTGCGCTTGATCTCCACGTAAATCCCGATCTGGATCTTGCCGAAGTTGGCCGTTGCCATCACCTCATCTGGAGCAGCGGCAGCGGGCCGAGGGAGGGGGACCGGAGGGCGGAAAAGGCGGGGAGGGGGCGGGGTAGGTGTGGGAGGGGGAGCGGTTGCCCGCGGCCGCGCCGGCCCGGGCGACAGCGTGAACGGGAGCGGGGCCGCGAGGAGCAGCTGTGGGGAAGCAGGCGGAAGCCCCGAGCCTGCAGGTCGGCAGGAGGACACGCACGCCGGGGCGTCAGGGTGAAGCGAGGGCCGGGGCCGTGAGGCGGCGCGGGGTAGAGTGGGAGGGCCCGCGCCGCCCGCCCGGGAGCCGACGCTGGGGAGGCGGGGCGCCGCGCGTCTGCGCAGAGCGCACCTCTGGCGTCTCTTCCTCTTCGGCTGGCCTTAGCCGGCTGCCTCTAGGCGGCCCCGCCCAGCTCCCCAACGGGGCGGGCGGCGGCCTCGGCTGCTGGGACCGCGGGAGCCGTGAGCGCTCGGTGCGGCCCGGCCCCCAACTAGCCGGCGTCGCGTTTAATTTCAGCCTGCGGCCTTAGAAGACGCGGGAAGCGTCGCGCTGAGCCGTTTTGCCTTCTGGCTCCCGTGAATTGGCGCTGTTGCCCAAATGGGTTAAGGGCCCCGTGGTTTCAGGGCTTTCCAGCGGGCTGAGGGATGCGAATTCAAGGGTCGTCCTTGGTAGACAGAACGGGCTCGGTGTTTTCATTGGCACCCCCTGTTTCCGCTTACAGGTAGGTGACCAAGCAGCCCTCCCAAGCACACTTGGTTCAGGTTTCCCATCCAGTTACGCCGGAAGGGAAGAAACACTCGAGGCGTCACCTACCCTAAATCGAAGTGAAGATCCGTCCCTTTGTAGTCTTGCCTTATGGTTCATCACATTCAGAAAGAAACTCTGTGGTGGGGCGTCCTTAACTGTTCAGGTTATGAGGCATCAGATGCTGGTGCCCTGTTTCTGCTGAGGGTTCAAGACTTACTTGTCTTGACCTGTAAAGGCCAACAACTGTGACTCAAGGGCAGAAGGCAGGCACATAAAGTTGACTGGGGAATGTGTCTCTTTGCAGTCATTTGACTAGTCTGACCACATCAGCAATGTGGAGAGTGAGACTCCATCCTAGAAGAGCAGGAAGGCCATGTGGACAGGGCCCTGGAAACTATAGCACCGTGTAAAAACCTCCAAATGTCTAACTCTTGCTGGGGTAGTAGTGGGGTTTGATATGTAGGAAACAACGCTTTCCCTAGTCATTGGTTTATTTATTTATTTATTTATTTTTTGAGAGGGAGTCTGTCACACAGGCTGGATGGAGTACAGTGGCACGATCTCGGCTCATTGCGATCTCCGCCTCCTGGGCTCAAGCGATTCTCCTGCCTCAGTCTCCCGAGTAGCTGGGATTACAGGCCCGCGCCAACATGCCCAGCTAATTTTTGTATTTTTGGTAGAGACGAGGGTTTCACTATATCTGTATTGGACAGGCTGGTCTTAAACTGCTGGCCTCAGGTGATCCACCTGCCTCAGCCTCCCAGAGTGCTGGGATTACAGACCTGAACCACCGCGCCGGCCTTCCCTAGTCGTTGTTAGTCTCCCTGTAACAATAACTACAAATACACAATTTAAAATTTAAAAATTGGAAACTGGATATATACATCAATGCTTATGTGCATATATGTGTTTGCCTAGAGTTTTCAACCTAATATAAGTAATCAAGTAGATCTTAAAAAAAACTGTTGAAAGACTGACTTCATCTGTAGCTTGAACGTATTGAAGGTATACTTGTCGAACGAACAACTCTATTGAATCCATTCTAAAGTGGGTATAATTTCTATAAAAAAAAAAAAAACAAAACCCACTGGATAGACAATGTAAAAAAAAACTTCTTTTACATTCCAGAAATGATACCATGCTTCAGAACCCGTTTCAGATGAAATTTGACCAAAATCAGGGTTTAGTTTTTATTTTTTCTATAATTTTGGGAGTTGTTCTGAACTTTTTGATCTCCTGTCTAGAATTCATTTTCTGATGTCTGCAACTGAGGTATTAAACATCTATTTATATTTTACTTATACTAGAATGCAAAGAAATCAAGTTGTACAGCTCAAAGTTGACATTGCTTCATCAAATGTTTTTTTCTTTTCTTTTCTTTTCTTTTTTTTTTTTTTTGAGACAGAGTCTCGCTCCATTGCCAGGCACCAGGCTGGAGTGCAGTGGCGTGTTCTCGGCTCACTGCAACCTCCGCCTCCCAGGTTCAAGCAATTCTCCTGCCTCAGCCTACTGAGTAGCTGGGACTAGAGGTGCACGCCACCTCTATGCTTCATCAAATATTTTTTAGCGTGGTTGCTGACACATACCTTACACTCTTTGGTTTATATAGTTAGTCTTAACCTTTAATCCATATAAAAGATATTTTTTAAATATGCACATTATTTTGCGCCATAAAAATGTATAACACCTAATAAACACAAAACCTTTATAAGACATACCCAAAAGGCCTACATTTTTTTTGGTACACATTAGCATATGTATTTACCAAGACTTGCATTATGGGCCTTGTATATTAGTGGCTTCCTGAAGAGCAGCCATAAATACATGCAGTGTGGCTATGTTTCCATCAACATCCTGGATCAAAGATTCTAACTCTGGCTCAGACATTAGCAAGATGTATAACCATAACTAGAACTACAACTACTACTAAGATCCTGAACTAGTAACTACTGATTAATTACTAAGATATATACCCTAAGAACTACTGTTCTCATTAGGATTACATAGTAGGCACTCAGATATTTGTTATGCAACAAGTTAACTTCTTAAGGTGCTCAGTATCTCAGTTATCTCTTTGATCAATCTGGAATAATAACTTACATTCTCTCAATCACAGTAAGTTTTTGTGAGGACAAATGAAATAAAATGTGATAGTACCTTGATATTTATCACTTTTTTTTTTTTTTTTTTAATAAAAGTAAACCATCCTAGGCCGGGTATGGTGGCCCACACCTGTAAGCCCAGCACTTTGGGAGGCCAAGGAGGGCAGATCACAAGGTCAGGAGTTAGAGACCAGCCTGGCCAATATGGTATACTAAGAATACAAAAATAAATAAATAAATAAGCTGGGCGTGGTAGTACATTCCTGCAGTCCCAGCTACTCCGGTGGCTGAGGCAGAAGAATTGCTTATACCCAGGAGGCGGAGGTTACAGTGAGTCAAGATGGCTCCACTGCACTCCAGGCTGGGCGACAGAGACTCTATCTTAAAAAAAAAAAAAAAAAAAAGTAAAGCATCCTATAAAAAATAACCCACACCACGTTTGGTGGCTCATTGCCTATAATTCCGGCACTTTGGGAGGCCTAGACAGCAAGATCCCTTGAGTTCAGGAGTTTTAGACCAGATTGAGCAACATATAGAGACCTCATCTCTGCTAAAAAGAAAAATTAGCCAGGTGTGGTGACCTACGCCTGTAGTCCTGACTACTCCGAAGGCTGAAGCAGACGGATCACTTGAGCCCAGGAGATCAAGGCTGCAGTGAGCTATGATTACAGCGCAGTGCTGCACTGCAGTCTGGGCAACATAACAAGATCCTATCTCAAAAAACAAAAACAAACCTCCCAAAACAGTACTCTACTATAGTCCTCAAATTATTAATTAGAAATTAGAATTTTAGGTAGGGTGTGGTGGCACATGCCTGTAATCTCAGCACTTTGGGAGGCCAAGACGGGTGGATCACCTGAAGTCTCCCTTCTTTATGGAAATTTTTCCACCCTATCCCATTTATAATGACTGTCCTATGTGGGTAATTCTCACACAGCCATGATTATCAGAATCTTCTAAGAAAGTTTTTAAAACAAATACAGAGGTACAAACTCTTATCTTGGGCCAATGGGTTTAAAATCTCGGGTAGGGCTTAGCGTGGTCCATTAAAAAAAAAAAACTCAGAAAATTATGTATACCTACTTGAGAATTATTAATTATCCCTGAATTGCCATAATTCAATGTTTTCTGTACATTTGCAAGTTAGGAACTGGGCACTAAATAACATTGCTTATTTTTCTAGTCCACCTTTTCTTTTCTTTTCTTTTTTTTTTTTTTTTGAGACAGAGTTTTGCTCTTGTTGCCCAGGCTGGAGTGCAATGGCACGATTTTGGTTCACTGCAACGTGTGCCTCCTGTGTTCAAGTGATTCTTCTGCCTCAGCCTCCCAAGTAGCTGGGATTACAGGCACCCACCACCACGCCCAGCTAATTTTTTGTATTTTTAGTAGACACTGGGTTTCACCATGTTAGCTAGGCTGCCCTCAAACCCCTGACCTCAGATGATCCACCTGCCTAGGACTTCCAAATTGCTGAGATTACAGGCACCCACCACCGTGCTCAGCCTGGTCTGTTTTTGAAAGATCTGCTTAAATCCATAGATTTCCCCCTTTATCAATTTTTTTCCTTACCTTTTTTTTCTTCTGTTGAAAAAGCCAGGATATTTAGCTTGTGGAGTTCTCTTTTTTCTCTTTTAAAATAATTAATTGTCTGGGCGGAGTGGCTCACACCTGTAATCTGAGCACTTTGGGAGGCCTAGGTAGGCAGATTACTTGAGGTCAGAATTTTGAGACCAGACTGGCCAATATGGTGAAACGCTGTCTCTACTAAAAATACAAAAATTAGTTGGGCTCGGTGGTGGGCACCTGTAGTCCCAGCTACTCGGGAGGTTGAGGCACAAGAATTGCTTGAACCCAGGAGGCAAAGGTTGCAGTAAGCCAAAATCATGCCACTGCACTCCAGCCTGGGCAACAGATCCAGACTGTTTCAATAAATAAATAAATAAATTGACGCATATTGTATTGTCTTATATATAAGGTATACAATGTAATGATTTGATATACATATATGTTTTGTAATAATTTTATAATCAAATTAATTAATATATCTATCACCACCCAAGCTGCACATGAGACCTCCAGAACTTGTTCTTTTTTTGTTTTTTTGAGGTGGAGTCTCACTATGTTGCCCAGGCTGGAGTGCAGTGGTGTGATCTCAGCTCACTCAACCTCTGCCTCCCGGGTTCAAGCGGTTCTCCTGCCTTAGCGTCCTGAGTAGCTAGGACTACAGAAGCCTGCTGTGATTCCTAAATAATTTTTGTATATTTAGCGGAGATGGGTTTTCACCATGTTGGCCAGGTTGGCCTTGAACTCCTGACCTCAGGTGATTCACCCACCTTGGCCTCCCAAAGTGCTGGGATTACAGGTGTGAGCCATTGCGCCTGGCCTAAAACTTGTTCATTTTGTAACTGAAAGTTTGTACCCTTTGATTAATATCTCTCCATTTATTGACTTCATTTCTTAGGACTATT